ATTCATTCACATTGATATGTGACTTGTTGGTGTCTTCTTTCATTCTTCGGAAAAAGATAACGCAATAGCAATTATACACATATGAATAGACAAGCCAAATAAAACGAGTTGAAATCTACAGCACAGAAACCAAAAGAGAGCTTGATGACTTCACAGCAAATCCCGTCCATGTAAGGGTGTGGGTGTGGGTGCTGATTAAAGAAGATTAACAACCAACCTGCACTCACACCCACACTCACACCCACACCCACATCCGCATCCACACCCACATCCACACCCACACCCACACCCACACCCACCCACACCCACACCAACCCTTCTGATCGTAAGACTTCAAGAATTTATATTCTTGTTTTATTTTCAGATTTTAAGATAACCGTGACACGACTTCAAATTAAAAATATAATTATGATTGGAGCTTCAGTAGGTTAGTTACGTAAAAATAAAAAGCTGTTACATACATGTATCTGAATATGTATGAAAATACGAGAAAAAATGCGGTAACGCCAATACTTAATGGAGTTCCCATTGTCATAAGAAATGGAGCGAGAAAACGACGAGTATAGAAAAATATTCTCGTAGAACAAAATCTTTTCAACACAGTAAAAACATTGATAATGCAATGTCGTTTTTGTGAACACTGCTGCTTGGACATTATTTTATTTTTTAGCACAGCAGATGGAAAACAATTCTTGTGAGAGTTGAAAGTCAATGAAGATAATCATCAACATGTTTTCTTAAATGCGCGTTTTTTGACTGATAAGTTGCAAATGCTTTTCTTATCTCTATCAGCGTCATACATTACAAAATGCGAGTTCGAAATGAGAAACACTAACTTTGTTTCATCAAGATGGCATCAAAAAAATTGGCTTAGGCCATATTTTTAATTTTCTGGTGCGAATCCTGTAAAAAATTGTTGAGCCTACCCTAGATCCAAAACATTTCGGCACCTATGAACATGGTCATATTTTTCTGAAGACTGAATTTGTTTCAGTAGGTCTGAATTATTTAAAAGATAATTATAGAACTTTGTACAACTGAGACGATTATTCATTTAGTTCCTAATTATGCACCAATAAGATTGCACTTCAAATCGTTTCTGTTATCAGCCCACAAAAATTTCATGTGGCTGAAGGTCAATTCACAAATAACATTCTAGGTTGATCTAGAAAAAGCGAACTAAACTAGTTTTTGTAAATGAGGTACATTTTAACCGTCAAGAAGATAAGCTCACAAATAAACGCATGTTATCAGGCATAACAAGCATAAACGACATGTTTTCTCATTGTCTATTGCATCTATGAAATAGTGTGATAGTTCTCTTTTTCTTTATTTTATTGATTCAAAATACCACTACAATTAAACGTGACAAAATTCTTTAAAAAACCAGCTCCTGAATGCAGGAGATTTTTTTACCAGGAGAAAAGTCTAAAAACCAGGAGTCTCCTGGCTAAATGAGGAAATTTGGCAGCCCTGACCCACACCCACACCCACACCCCAACTCTGTTATCGCTGTTTCAAATGAGAATCCATGAGCTTTTCTTCGCATATGATTTTTTTACACTAAGGCAAAATGTTGCTAGTGTATTAGACAATTATTTTTTTTAGAATAGGGGGCTGCAAATATAATATTTAGGTAACACCCTCAAGAGAGTCTTCAATGCCTGAAATTACAGTCTCGAACATATTTTCAAAAGATGTCCAGTCTAGTGAACACACAAACATGAAATAGAACCAAAAATAATTTGCCTTCCACTCACCTTTGTGTTCTCCCTTTGCTGAGAAACAAGTTTGTCATCAAAAAAATCTCAAAGGCAAGCATCTATTGAATTGCGATGAAAGAGTCACAAGCATTTTTTTCTTTTCTTTTTTTTCGCATGCGCAATAAATTGTTTTTTGTTTGAAAAAGAGAATTACTCATCGACACTACATTAGTTTGTTGTTGTATAGATCAACATCCAGATACAAAAACAATATAAAGATTTTATAGAGTGAGCCGGGTGTGGGTGTGAGCGTGACACCTACACCCACACCCAATTATTCCACAAGACAACATTTATTTCAAAGCAGGATTTGTATAAAACATCAGAGCCTTTCGCTGTTCTTACCATAAAAATACTTGTCATCGAGAATAAATGAATTCAATAATTTTATTGTATAAGAAAAAACGATTCACAAACAGAAAGATAAAATCATCGAAAGTACACTGCCACTCAGTCGTATACACTACCCAAACCTCTTCGTACCATGAGCCGAAAAATAAAGTCCATATTTGGTAAATCTGCTGGCTCAACAGGATGCCGACATAATGGACACTTGTTTCCTGTTCTTAGTACGCCCAGCATACAATTGAAATGAAATATATGTTCGGCTTTACAAGGCCATCGAGCATAGTAACGGTTTATTTGAAAATCACTGATACAAATAGGACAGTTCTCAAACATTAAGTCATCATTGGCTTCTAGTGGACTATTCATACGGCACTGTGCAATAAAACGTGGTGATGCTGATGTTATACCTTGTAACATTCGAATAACATCGTTGCCATATTCACGCCTCTGATATTCTGCTTCTTCTCTGATTAACTGTTCAAAATGATGATGTCGTTCTTCTTCAGCTTTACGCAATGCTTCTTGTTGACAACTGAAATAGATGATAATCATTTGATTTCTATTCATTATCACAATTTACAAAAACAAAAAGAACAGTTCGACATACCTATGTTGATATTCAGCAGTCAGAACCATTAATCTTTCGTGTAACCATTTCGCTTGATCGAAAGAATGACCTCTTGTATATTCAGAAAAATAGGTATATCTATTGTAACAATTATATCTCGTTACAATCCACTGTGGCCTCACCAAAGTAATAGTATGAATATTAATAATAAGAAATGGAGTTAGCAAAGAAAATCTGTGCAGAATTTCAGGGGAATTTTCATTGGCATCTATCATGAACATGATGAGATATTTGTCATTTACAATAAACATGCTATCATAATGGTTATTTTCAGCAGTTGTTTCTAACAAAAGATTATCCAAATCTGTTAAAGAAATGCCATCGAGTTTCATTAGCTGTTCTTCAATACCAACATGAGAGAATTCTGATGGTAGATGTAGGAAATCAATAACATTCTTAGAGAGACGTAAAAGATTGCCAAGGAAAATAAGTATTACGAAACCTAGCAAACAATGTGGAAGATAGGAAATGTAGGGTGATGAAGCATCGAATGCGCGAACATTTTCTTTAAACCCATAATAGCTATGTCCATCAACTTTATAAGTGGCTTCATTCGAAGGCACATACAAATATCCTAATAAAATGCCACATTTTTTTATTACTTTTTCATTGAATAAGCTGGCGTTCTGCTTATAAATTTTTTCGATGTTTTCAACGTATATCATTTTCTCAGGCCAATTTAAAAATTCTTTCGTTGGAATACCAACACGTTGGACAATACAGCGTAGTGTTTTAATCTGAAACGATTTAAACCGATATGGATACTGTAGTTGAGAGTATGGTTGCCCGCTTGCAGCAAATTTAATATATAATGTCATGTTGGGTGTATCAATGCTCGGTTCTACGACTCGTTCGAATCTGTGTATTGGAAATAGTTGTGAATCATGATCAGAAAAGGCTGAAAATGAATGCTTCGAATTTGAATCAATAGCGTCTATGCCTAGTTCAACTTGAAGATACTCAGGTTGAAAGAGAAATGAACGCAATGAAGAGAGTGCTTTAAAACCAAGTAAATTGTAATTAGTTTCCAAATGATTTCGAAATTGTTCTAGATTCATTGGGAATGGTCCATTCCATATATTGTACAATTGATTGGGGCATCGAAATAATATCACCACAGCAACAGAAATGAACAGATAGACAAATATCAGTCTAATATCTGGAAGGAGTTTGTTGCGTTGGTCTCGGAAATATTGATTACGAATACGTTTCAACAGTGATGCACACATCGCATTTTTTTTCATGATTTTTTTCAAATTGGATAAACTTTCCTAATGGAATAGAAAAACAAATGTCAAGTGCAAATAACATCTTGTGATTAACAGCTTGAAATTGACTGGGTTTTAATACTCTTCTATTTTTGCTTCGTTTTTGTTTAATTAGGAAGGATATATTAATTAATTTTTTTTTCTTTTTTTTTTACAAGTTACTCAATTAAATAAAGGGTGTGGGTGTAGAGTACAACCATTGGATAGGATACGAACCTGTATCCAGCCCCGATCGGTTTCGAATCGGCGCGGTTTTGAAATTTTTCGTTGACCGAATCCGAGATAGTTCCAGTGTGAAAATTAACTTTTCATTAGGTACGAATCCAAACAATAAATCCGTAGGAATACTAAAATTTTTCGAATATATTTTGGGTTCTTGTTCTTTTTATTTTAAAATTAACTTTAAATTAATTTATAAAAAAAATAGAACAATAAAACTAACGAAACTTTATCGACAACCATTACACCGAATGACTGTGAGTATGAGACTATCACTACTTACATGAGTGTGGTGAACAGCACATATAAAGAAGCACCTAAGACTAATACTCGTGTCCACACTCAACATCTAGTATGTCTAAAGCTCGCCTGATGATACTTCGGGACACTAGAAATGCATTAAGAGCGTATAGAATGCAGTCCAATTTTAGATTGAAGGAAGTCTAACCAATATCGGTCCGAAGATAGTTATAAGTCCGAAAAACATGGGGCAACGAACTGTAGTGTGAGTTGCAGGTGTTCTTCTAAAAAATATAATACAAATCCACAATGACACCAAAATTTTTTGTCTTTCACGACACTCTAGTAGTTTTATAACTTTGACGCCATCACCGCATATTTTTTGAAAAGCTTTGGAGAAATTGGACTCCATTACCGATCAGCTTAGCGACTTGCACGTCTACTTGTGGAGAAGTTAAAATTTACAAAAATAGATCCTCGCATGCTCACGAATCAGTTTGTCAGAATGGAAATGAAACAGTGAATAATTTTTGCTTTATATATATGCGTCGACTCCGTTAACATGTGCCGTCATCGTAACGGCACATATAAGGCGTTTACAACGTGTTTTTTTCTTCCTTCTCTTTCTCGAAGCTTGATGTCAAATGATCGCATAAAGAAGCAAAGAGATGAAATGATTTTTCTTCAACATGTAAACATTGAATATAATGTCAAAAATTAGTTTTTTCTTCAGCTTGACTGTGGGGAAGACGGTGGGTGTGAGATCAGCTATCACTTACAAACTGCATTTTACAAGTATGAAAACAAAATAATAATATTCATAGATGTTATACGGTAAAATCCATTCTATTGAAATTCTCTCATATAATAACTTCGAACGACAAGCTTCTATTTGACGATATCATTCTTTGGTAGGAAGTTATTCAACTCATGGAATGGCCCACTGAGTTTCTCAAGTGAAAGATTTATTCATTTTACACAATATTGTCTTTCGAAAAATACTCACAGTAGTGGACATTATATAGTATATAGATGTGAGTCATATTTACAACCAGTACTGTTTTTTTCCTGGCAGATATGATTAATAGCAACGTTTGCATAATTTATGATTTATAGTTGACCATGACTCACTTCCGAAATTGCTCAAAATTCTTTCGTCATCAGAAAAAAACGAACTTTTTTCACGGGTGTGGGTGTGGGTGTGTGGATGTGAGTGTGGGTGTGGGGTGTGGGTGTGGATGGGTGTTGGTGTGGGTGTGGGTGGGTGTGGATGGGTGTGGATGGGTGTGGGGTTCGCTGGGTGTGGGTGTGGGTGTGGGTGTGGGTGTGGGTGGGTGTGGGTGGGTGTGGGTGTGGCTAGGGTGGGGGTGTGGGTATGGCGAGGGTGGGGTGTGGGTGTGGCTAGAGTGGGGTGTGGGTATGGCGAGGGTGGGTTGTGGAGTGTGTGTCTGTATTTATGAAGGAGAAAACCACACCCACATCCACATCCACATCCACACCCACACCCACACTCTGCACTGGGTTGATCTAGGCTGGGCCGGGCGGGCACGAACAATCTTGGCGCGCAGTATGGATCGGGCTAGGCCATAAAAAGTGATCCAATTTCGAGACCTTGTACGAAACGCTGGAGGTTTCGTATGGAACCTATATTTTTTAATGTAGAAGATATTTCAGAGTGTACAGCCATGCTGTTGTTGGTTGCACTACATAGCAATGTTTCAGAAATTTGCTTACATCAAAGTGTCGCACACGTCATCACAACGCTTGCTGATTCAGCATCACTTCACCTGTGTATTGACTTTGTGTTGTTTTTCTTGTAAGTTGGAAAAAACTCACTGACTGCAGCCAACAAAGTGCGCCATTCTTCATTTTGTTATCAAATATTTATTATGCAAGTAAAGGTTGTTATTTAAGTATGCTGTATGCAAGCACATCAACTTTCCGCGAAAAAAGAACAAAAGCATGTGCGTCAATCAACTTTTTTTCTCTCTCTATGTGAATGGCTTCTTCGACATAAAAGACATACTGTATCATGGCCAAAGAATAAGATACGGGTTCATGGTGTTTTGTCGATCCTTTTTTAAATATAAGATACTCATTGTCGACTTTTTGACTAATTGTGATCGAACAACACAGAAATGAAACTTTTGGGAAGCTCATTTCTCAAGATTATGCGAATCTTGATGAAGATAGTATAAGGGTATTAGAATCACAAGAAAAGGTTCCCAAGTGATCCACGTCGTTTTTGTTCATATTTTGCCCACACACTAAGATAAAATGTGTCGCATGTGTCGCACTTTGCGACACAATGTACGACACATTAATATGCGATACGAGGAGCTCGTTGCGACACATTTCTTCCAGCAGACGTACGACACATTCTTATGCGACACATGCGACACATTCTTAACACGTGGTTCGAATCCATTTTTCCAGTTAATTTCAAATAGTAGCACCTATTCTTGGAGCTCAAGACGGTAGATCTGAAGATCTACCTGTCTCGAGACCATTTGATCTCGATCAGACTACTTCGAGGCAGTCCATTCTCGATCATCTAGCGACCTCTCGGCATGTTCTCGAATAACAAATGGTCAAGATATAATCTAGAAAAAAAAAGACATACAAAAATGTACAAGTCAAGTACGTCCAATAGGCTCGATTATATCCAGCTGCACTTGCGAAACAAAATAGTGAATGAACGATTGACGTATAGGCTATGACACATCTATAATGCGACACATTTTTGTACGACACATTCTTGCACAACACTTGTACGACACATTTTATTTTAGTGTGCATATGTAGGATTCAATGAGCCTAGAAAAAGCCTAAACGGGTAATAATTCATAGACTTTCCTTCTCGAATGATGATCATTTTACTGGGTTTATCACCTATGAACCTATGAAAAGGAATTCAATGAAAAATCAAATCATCGAATTTCGATCTGAAATCTTGTCCACATGCAGGTCTTATGGCCTGTATATTAGTCTAAAAGTTTCAGTCAAAACAAATGCTTCTTTCTCAAAATATCGCGTTCTCAAGAAAACACTACCATGCTACACATATGTCCGGAAAATCGACTTTTATAGAAACCTCAATATTCAGAGAAAGAAGCACTTCTTTTGACTGAAACTTTTAGACTAATATACAGGCCATAAGACCTGCATGTGAACAAGATTTCAGATTGAAATTCGATGATTTGATTTTCCACTGAATCCCATGTCATAGGCGGCAAACCCAGTAAAATGGTCATGACTCGAGAAGAAACCATATGGACCGTTCCCCTTTTAAGCTTTTTTAGTCTCATCGAACCCTACATATGGGCAAAATACCAGCTCAAAAGCTCTGAATCACTTCGGGCGGTTCCCTCGTTAGACGGGCATTTCACCGTACCTGAAGATCGGTGTAACAACACTTCTCGCTGTTCTCTTGGATTTTAGATAACCATCTGTCGAAATCCCTCGGAGCAAAATTATTTTTTCACTTGTCTCATACGGAAAATTCCTTTGATTGCTTCATTCGCCAAGACCAACATGTCTTCTACCATAATTCTGCAAAGAAGAGATTCATAGTTACTGGGCATTCTTGCATAAACGGGCAAGAATGTTTGGCTACAAAGTCAAACACATACTGAACAATTTAAACTGTACTATTGCAAACGGAAAGTCGTGGATCTTGTCCGGAAAACGTGCGAACAAGAGTCGCCTATCAGACCCGAAGACAAAAATCACTGATGAAAACGCGTGAAACATGGTGGTTATAAATGCGTAACGTGTGCCTCATGCAAGAAATCTTATTATGAGAAAAGGATAAAACTGTTTTTTTTTTCATACTTCCATCAAAAGAAGCAAAATAAAAATAAAAGAAATGCATTCGATGCTGTACAGAAGAAAAAACAGTGAAACTTACACTGAGCTTTTAATTTCTAGAAAAGGAATGATGGCGTGTCTGCTATTATACAGTTCCATCATTGTTCTCATATGTTAAGTAATACGAAATATTAATTATTTTTAAACGAATCTTTTCTAAAAATTTTAGTCTAATAGTTGCCAACGGTAGTATTACCGATGTTCCATTACTCATGTCTTCACTTGATAAGGCAATTTCTGAATCAGATCACAACTTCAGCGATACAGCTTTCGATCTACTAATCAAAGATTGTACCGATGCACTTACTCACCTTTCTGCAATTCATGATGATGGTACCAAGAAAATTCCTATTCTGACTCCTGAACAAGAGGAAAACAATGTAAAAGCACAACTTATTGTATTGAAACTGAAACAGTTGGTGCTCGCAGCAAATATGATAACGAAAAATCAAGGTTTTATTCGCGATCGTTTCTTTGTTTTTGCAAAACTAATTCATGACAGTAATTATTTCGTACAAGCAACTGAATACTTTGAACCAGTGCAGTACTACAGAGGTTCCGATTTGATTATGAAACTCGACGAATGGGAAGCATGTGAATTCAGTGCGACAAAAAAGATGTTCTGTTGCTGGACATATAATCTGGAAAAAAGTCACTTCGATTATGTTTTTGGTAGATCAGACGAGTATGAACACGTATCTTTGGTCTGTTATGGTCCAGAACTTCCTCAAAAAGACACAGCTATAGCCGGATTTTACTATTCCATGAAGCTGTTGGTGATTCGAGACTTGAAAAGCAATAAAGGATTACCAGTCCGAGCACGAACACTCAAGCATAAATGGACTGTCGACGATGATGAAAAAGAATATTTAACTGTAACTGGAAGTGAAAATAATGCTGCTAATCTGTAATGACAAGACATGTTGTATATCGAGGATGAGAATAATTCTTCGTGTTCTTTTTTACTGTTGATCTCAAAACAATTGGCATACAACTATCCACAAGTGAATTATACTTTAACTACTCTGTTACATAACCTCTACAGTCTAAATTTTCACATGAAAGGTAGTGTTTGTGTTCGAAGACCATTTCTAATCGAGCAATTCTTTGACAAGCGTGGGGAATTTTCTCCGCTGACAGTAGCATCTCTATGATCGAATGGCTTATATTTGCCCATTTCTTCGTTTTTTTTTCTGACGGTTTCAAATGAGAGAGGCGATATAACATGTGTTGCAGTTCTCTAATTGACGAAGACAAGTTTTTTCCCCCTTTTTTCTCGCTACACATTTCAATGCGCTTTCCTTCATGACGTCATTGACTCTCTAAACTGCCACCAAATTTCATAGCATGCATGAACAGAAAGGAAAGAGGAAATGTCAGACTATGAGAAATATTGGGTTGTTGCAAAAGACTTTGCCGGTTTTTTTTTCTTTTCAGTTTTTTATAATTTTATTGAAACAAAAGACTATCAATCAATAACATATGCACCATTGCTATCTACAACATATTCCTATCTCTTAGGCACATCCACAATACCATCTTTATATAGAATTTCTTATACAAAGACTGAAAGAAAGTTTCAAGGGTGTGGGTATGGGTATGAATGGAATGAAGATGCACACCCACACCCACCCCAAATATCTTCAATATAATTTCATCTGATTGGTTCACCTACATATTTCTTTTTATAAAAACATCTTTTGTTAAAATGATTGATCATCAATGATAGGTTCATATTTAGACAATGTCCGTCAAACATAACTCTTCACATATTTATATATGTGTACGTCTATTCTAATCTCAGTCGAATACATTATATCAACAATGAATTGTTTATCAAGTATGAGTATGTAACTATTCCAAAATATCGTTTATTTTTTATTGTTTCGTACAGAAGACAATGTTCAATTACTTGATTTACCTGATGAGTTAATTTTAAATATTATGAATAAAGTTAAACATCATGTGTTATTGCTTAGTTCTATTATTACAATTGGTAATAATCGTTTGGAACAACTTGCACTTGATAAATGTCATTCAATTGATTTAACTTTTGATTATGTTCAATCACCATATGAAACACTTATTCAACAATTTTATTCAGATATTATGCCTCATATTGTTAATAATATTCAATCATTAACACTCACCATTCGACATATTCCTCATATAATAACTTTTGCTGAAAAAAACTCTAATGGAACTCTTCCAAATTTGACACATTTGAAAATAATGATTGGTAAACAACATGATCAAACAGGCACTCCTTATACAGTACATAGATCAAGTAAATTATTAAGTATATTTTTTCAAGCTGTACTTAAGTATTAGTTCAGTTGATTTTCTGCTTAGAAAATAATGAAGATTCTATGACTCGCAAATTTCAAAATCACTTCTTGTCGATCTTTTATCTGAAACAAAATCGGTACTTGTTTGTTATCGCCCCGCAATTTTTTAATTTTTTAATATTATCGTATCCTTTAATTTTTTATCTTTTCATCTTATTATCATTCCTAATGCTAGTGTTGTTCTGTTTTGTTATGATCTTGCTTCATTTCAGCAAAAAAACTTTAAAAAAAATTTTAAAACTTTTGCGGGGTGATAACAAATAAGTCCCGACACTACTCTTATATGTAAAATATCTGGACAGTTGAAACTAATCAGTAGAAAACTTCTCATATCATTTTACCTCTACGTGGATGTATTAAAATTTCTCTCACAAAAATCGTAGTTAACAAATATATAGAAAAGTCTTTTTGTCAAGTTAATAATAGCAGAAAGCAAAAGACTAGATTGAAAAATGTTATATTGTAACTTGTATATATATACATTTTTTATTAGGAATGAAACATTATCGTATTTTTCGCCGGAGTAAACCTCTCCTCCCAATTATACCTCAATTTGTTCGACTGGAGGGATACATTGGTAGCCGAATTTTATATACCGTTCGTTGTTCACCACTTATGCGTTCTATTGTATCATTCGAACTTGATGATGAATGTATTTTACCAATTGTATCTAATCCTGGTAGATTGTTTTTCCCTCAATCAACGCAACTGACTCATATCCGAATAACATTAGATGAATTCGACGAATGTGTCAGTTTACTAAGTCAATTGGGCTCACAACTCTGTTCATTGACTATTAGCATTGTATATGTTTATGTGGAGAATGTTGATATTATCTCTCAAATAGGATCTGTAAGTAATATATCTTAATTTGAACTTTCATTTAATCGACTCATTTAGATTTCATGTCCTCATTTAAAACAGTTAACAATGAAAATTTATCAGAATATAATTCATTATGAAGAATGTATTATTTCTCTTCTACAACGTTTCTCAAATATTGAATATTTAACATTATTATTAGCTATTGATGGAACAACAAGTAGACTCAATAATTTTATTAATGGATTTGATTTGGAGAAAGACATTGTTTCATATATGCCTAATTTACGTCAATTTAATTTTCACATTCGTACAATATTTGAAAACGCTACTCATATTGAAATTGATACAATTCGTCAAAGTTTTCTCAAATATCAAAAAGGATCTGTTGATTGTGCACTCGACTATTTCAATAATAATTATAGTCAATGTCAAATCTATTCGCTTCCATTTATTGGCAATCGTCTTGACTTCATTTCAAATCGATTTCCACTATTCAATATGAATAAGACGTTTTCAATGGTTACTATGTTATTACTTTTTGATGATGTCAAACCATTCGAAAATCTTTTCTTTGCACGTATTGCTCGAGATCTACCTTATCTTAGAACACTCGAATTATTCAATGAACTTGAACAGCAAGAGAAAACAAGAGTGACAACAATTAATCTCGAATTTACTCATTTATCTACACTGATTCTATTCGATATTCATATGGATTATGCTGAACAATTTCTTTATCGAAGTCATCTTCCTTGTCTAATCGAACTGGCTATTGATAAGGATATATTGTTGACAATAATCGCTCAAGACCAACAACAAGCAAGAGACAATTGTTCGAAAGTAGAAAATTTACTAACTTCAGAGACATACTGTGATTCAGTAGATGCTGTTCGAAAGTTTTTTCCTCTAGTTTCCCATTGAAAATATTCAAAAAAAAAAGTACAATAAATGATTTGTGTCAATAAGTAGCAACTACTTTTCTTGCTAAAGTTTTAGTTTTCAAAAGTCAATGAAATAGAAACATTGTAAAAACGTCTATTAATTTAAACATGGCAGTAAGAAAAGTTTGTCTTTTTTGCCGAATAAGTAGGAGAAGAAAAGGTTAATCTTATCGTTTATTTTATTGTTGATATAAAGATGGTTTTAGTAGCGCAATATAAGAATCAATTGCTTATTATGAGAAATTGAAAGCTTCAGGAGGAGAAAATCTTTGATGTTCTGTAGACATAATCAGAGAATAGGGGTGGGTGTAGTTATAAGAGTCTTATCTTTCTCCACACCCCCACCTTCTTTCTGAACATGAACTAAAATATTTACAACTTGCTTTTATTCAAGAGCAATAGGAAATCTTTGAAAATGCTGAAAAATTCGTTTTCAGAGATCATCAAAAATAGTTTAATTAATCCATGCAAATTCCTTTTGTAAGACTACTGAAGTCGATGATTTTATAGAGTAGAAACTTCTTTAAAAAAATATCATATCGAACTAAGCCGTAGCTTTTATCCAAGTGAAATGGAATATATTTTCTCAGAAGCCACTTCCTACCTAAAATGCTATTTGGTCAAAAAATAAATTTTTCAAAAATTATAGTAATAGCAACACAAAAATTTAGACGGTTTTCTAGAAGGCAAAAAGAAACTCGAATATTGTCTTTTGTAGGGCAGATTTTACGATTTATGTCTTAAATGTGCCAATTTTCAAATCATGTACCAGCTGATACTTTACCCATCAATCACATAAACGTTCTTTAGTACAGTGCTTTTTGTTTGCTATTCAATAAATATAATAGAATTCCACAATTAATATTTATTTTTTCCCAATTCTAAACTGTTCGGCACAATTAACCGCGTAGCCAAACAGTTCATTCTTTTAGAATGGTTTCAAATGAACTTTTCCCTGTCGATTGAAAATGATTACAAAAAAATTAAGCCGAAAGATAAATAGTGCAAATTCGTGCGATATTAGTTCTTTGCTCAAGATTAATGTAAGTATATTGATTCATCTAACTGGGTGCCTGGTTATTTTCGACAATTCAAGGAGATTTTAACATGACAACATGAATTGACTCGAAAAGGAGGTTCAGTTTCTGTCACAATGTCATTGCAAACGAAAATCATTATATCTTCAATAGGCAGCTTGGATTTAGTGATGTGTTCGAGAAGACAAAGACCATCAGAATTCAAGACACTTTAAGATCTATCTTCAGCCAAACTGTAACAACTACCAAGCAAGAATATAACTGCGATAGAACTTTATCCATGAATCGTTGGAGAGCTACTTGCGTATTTCATTGCTCATCAGTTTATTTTATTCAATTGAGTTCCATGACCAACAAAAAAAGACGACAATGAGATCACTTTCGCAGATTTTTTTCACAAATTCATCAATCATCAAATATATTTTTCTACAGGTCAAATTAGTACGCTGATATATGAGTAAAAGTAAGAAAATGTGCAAAAAAAATTTTTTCATGCAAACTATGTTTTTAGGGTTTTGCAAAATTCGATCACTGTTCTGCAATAAAAATATCTATCCAATATCTGAGCTCATATTCGGACAGAGTAAAAAATTTCTACGTAGTTTCAACACATTGTTTTTTCTTCGTCTAGAGTAAACACTTTTGTTCCGAAACTTTCGTGCAACACATTAATCAGCAATGTTTACTTTAAAAGTAGTCGACACTTTTATTGAATGCTAAAATTTAGAAAAATAGAATTTATTCGTTTGATCAATCTACAAATATTAATGTCGCTCAAATTTTGCATCAAATATTTTTAGAACGATTCAAAATACAATTATGGATCATAATCAGTCACTGCATGTGATTCCACTATTAATTAAAGCAATAGCCTTTAATTTTGGGCTAAGTTCAAGTACCATACAAGCTTGTTTATCTAGTCATTTTTCATAATAAATCCTATACATGAATAGATATTTGTTCTTAGAAAGTGTTGCCCGATTTCAAAAAAAAGTGAAAGAGTATGCAGAGTAATCAGAAATATCGTTTTTGTTAGAGATATGAATCAAGTCTTTCGTTTTTTTTTTATTAAATAGTAATAATCAATAATCTATTTACATAATGAGCACTTCTCTTACTAACCTAGTTAATAATAAAAAACAACATGTGTCATACGAATTCACATTTAATCAATCGTCAGTGTCCGAATCGTTCATGTCTTCTATACTGCCTAGAACTCGGCAAAATCGAGGTATATCATTGGGAGGAATATTGAATATATGGCCAAAAACAGCTTTTGTATCATCGATAAATTTCTTTTTCTCGTTGACTGAGAGAGCACCATAGTTCAATGTGAATGGAACATTGCCGGTGAAGCCAGTTCGTTTGAGCAAACCTCCCAACATCTTGAATCGCTCTTGATGACTAAAGAGTTTTTGTTGTTGATTATTATTCATTTTCTCTGGTTCAAGTTGAAAGAGAGAAGTTTATACTTTTCGATTATGAACGTGTGTACAAAATGTTTTCGAAAGATTAGATGAAAGAAAAATGTGAATTTCCAAGATGGGTAAAGAATGGACATATACGAATCCTGAAGAATCTATTAAAAGATGTCACAGTATAGCAGTCGGACTCTTCATTATTGATTTCTCAACTGATGCTAAGATTTAATGAAGTTAGCATATACACGGGTTGAAAGTGTAATTTCCATTTCTGTTACCCAAAGAAAGAATGATATTATTGAAGATCTATCATTTGATAATTAACAATAATATTCTATTGCATGTTGAAACTGAATATAATTCAATTTGTAACATGAAGAAAAAGAGTTGATATGCAGAATCAATATTTTCACACTTATTGTCAAATTCCAATAGAAAAATAGGTTCACTTTTTCATTGAATTTCATCTATTTCTTAAAAGTCGATTAGAACTGTAAAATCAATTGATAATTCAAGTTGAAGTTTCTCACCATTATTTGATATTTGCATTTCATAGAAATCGTAAACGGTGCTCGGTTCTCTTTCGAAAGTGATGAAATTCATTTTGTATTCCATTCAATTATTCAGATACTATCTCAGCATATCTTTGTTTTATTTACTGAAGTATGAAATAGATTTGAAGAATGAGCACTAAAAGTCATCGACTGATCGTAAGATGGAATTTTGCGCATTAGATAAATCGATTTTATTTATTTTTTG